ATGATATGGCCCAGCCCTAGTAAGGATCACTATCTTGAATGAAGAATGAAAACAATAATCAGCATACGAACTTTCCATAATTTAATCTAAACCTGGTGTAACAGCATCAACACAAACAGATTTTTTGAAATGTCCACAGCAGACTCTAAAACTCCACACACATCACAAAACGCTACAAAGCATTTTGAATCTTTAGATTCTTCTGTCATAGTTATTTGTCAAAGTGTGGGTAAACTTCCTGTTAGCATCTGAGAGGAAACCTGAAGACTGAAGAAATGAATCGCACCAAATTCAAGATGCAGTTCCTTTAACGGCCACTGGAGGCAGACTCCAGCTGTGAGTCCGTCCCATAGACTCGCATGTTATAACTGTACAGCTGAAGTTTGATATGTGGTCCTCTCAGGCACAGTGGACCCGCCTGCTCTTCAGGCCTCTTACTTTTAACGGGTTGTATCCAATCAGAAGAAATTTGGCTCGAAGGGGGAGGAGCTAAAAGGGCTTGTTTCAGAAAGAGGATGAACTGAGGCTCTGTATAAGATAAAGAAAGATTATTTTGAATTTTCAATCAAAGCTACTTTGGTAGAGTCAAAGCCCAAACATTTGGAGCTGGCTTTACTTTAAGAAGATCGCTTTTTACGACTCGCTCTTCTTTCCTCTTGTCTGTGTGACAGCTCCTTTCTGCAGGTGTTAGAGAGGAGGCGTGGCTTTTTAACACTCAGCATCACTGGTAACACCTGAGCCCAGCATCCAGTGCTCTAGAAAAGTCCTTAGAGCTCCTCTTTGAGCTCCTCTTTTGGACTTTGTTTGCTCCTTGGTTTATTGTCTTGCACTAAATCCCATTGCCTTCAGCATTGACAGTACTGACTGCACACACCATAAATTAAGAATCATTTTAAATTGCTTGTTTAATTTAAAATAAACTCTTTCCTAATTGACATTTCTGTACTGCTCTCTTCCTGTAATGGCCGTCTGTGACATCAGTGTACAACAACAAGTCATTTTTTAATTCAATAAGTGCAAAAAGGTCATCTGATGACTTTAGTTTAATCTGATCTTCAGATGTTGGTGCAGAGCAGATGTGACAGTCAGTGTGTGGGTTTATTCCTCTGAACCGCAGTGACTCAACATTTCTCGTGAAGAGGCTTTGGCTCTTCTCCAAGCAGCTTAACAGATTACAGATTTGTAAAGTTTCTTCACATGCAACCAGACACAAAGTACTCAAGTGCAAATGTCCTTCGGTAGACGATGAGCACCGAGTGTGGCAGGCACTTCCACAAAATCCTTTGTGACTGAGTGAGCAGAGAGGTCATTTCTCTTTCCCAACATGCAGAGCACAAAGAGATTTGCTGAAAATTACAACAAATTAAAACAAAAGAAAAGAAATAAATCAGTTTTGAATCGGCTCTGGACTCTCCTGTGTGTCATTTCTCAGTCTGCTTCACTCTCCTGTCAGTAAAGCCTCATAAAAATAACTGGAGGTTAAGTATCGGACTTTCAGGAGCGGGACCTCCAAACACACTCCTGGTTCTCATCTGTAGATGTTCCCTAAGTTCCACGAGCTGTTTAGTAGATGGGGATCTGCCCGGGAGTCGTTGTTTTCACCTCCACCATCTTTTTTAAAACAAGCAACAAACTGATGGGACGAGGACGGCTGGGTCTGACCGAGCAAACTTTAATAAGAGCCAGAAAGAGCGACTCAGACCTCAAACTCATCAGGTCAGTGTTTCCTGAGCTCACAGCCACAGGTAACACCACCTGAGGCCTGCAGACCAAATTTAAGGCCCATCTCCACTGGTTTCGTTTTCTTGATATGTTTCATACTGTGTGCGGTGACAGCGAAACAGATTCAAATCAGCATCAGTGACTAAACTAAACTGTTTTTCTATGACTGTTTCCAGCTGCATATTTTTACTGCTCTGAGTCACAGTTCACATTAATCACGTTAATCAGTCTTATAGCAGGCCTCGCTCAGGTCATCCTCAGAGCTGTTGTAGCCCCTCCCCCTTTCAGATCACTTCATTCTGATTGGCTCTGTGCCAGACCATATTAGGGTTGTCCCCTGTCTATGACATCATACAGATCCAAGAGTAGAAAAAACTGAACCCAAGTGTTTAAATGATTTCTGAAATGTGAAACATGAAGTGTTTTTCTTCCTGTCAGTCAGGACTCAGCTGCATTTGTCAGCTTTATGACGGCGTGATGCACAGATGATGTCACCATCAGCTCTGTAATTTACAGGGATGACCTCAACTCGAAGGATGTAGCAACACACACACACACACACACGCACACACAAACACACACACACACACACACACACACACACACACACACACACACACACACACGCCAGTGTTAAGCTGTCTTTGTGTTCACGTCTAAGCAGACTGGGATTTCCCCGTGGAAGTGGAGAGATGAACAATCAGTTTCTGACCTACTACAAAGCTCCTCCGCTGACAGGCCTCCCACCTCCCACTCTTTGTTTTTCCTCTCTGTTTGCAGTTTTTCCTCCTTCATTACTTTTGTTCTGCCATTCTGTTTGTGCGGATCCTCTTTCTAGCGACATGCCTGTAAAACGGCTCCAGGCGATGCTTCACCATGAAAGCTCTCCTGCCTTATCAGCCTCCACCATGAAAGGACCACGCTGCAGCAAAGGCAGAAGCATCCACCCCCCGCTAACGGAGACACCGTAGGCTTTGGAAAAACAATGTTGTTGTGATTTCTGGGTGAAATATTTTAGCCAGGCTCAGTCTGTCAGTCCAGGCTCTGATGGAGTGCCTTCATCTTGATCCCCAAGGAGAAATCCCACCAACTTTGCTGACTGTGCAGAGCTCAAAGGTCAAAGTTCATATGAACCAATTATTTTTTAGTATAATTTGTAACCCTGGCACTATTTTTCATCATGTCTCAGGGGCTGAGGTGAAGCATTTAAAATGAAGGTGGATGTTTACAAAAGGTGATTTCTGCCTCCTCCTGATTTTAATCAAATAAATAAATTAAACAATAATAACAAAGAATAAAACCTGAAAAAAAAAACAATCAGAAAGAGAAATGTTCAGATCATGACCCTGCCCCTCAAAAATCTACAAACATAATATTTTCTTTAGTGTCGACAGTATCAGCGTGCTGCCCAGCCCCCGTCTGTGGCACGACGTGAACGTCCACCTTGGCTGAGCTTCCTTCAGGTAGTTCCAGTAGATGTAGATCAGGGGAGTTGAACTCCAGGCCAAGAGTCCTGCAGGTTTTAGATGTGTCCTCGATACATCACAGCTGATTTAAACGGCTAAATGACCTCCTCAACATGTCTGAAGTTCTCCAGAGGCCTGGTAATGAACTGGTCATGAGATTCAGGTGTGTTGACCAAGGGTGAGATCTTAAACCTGCAGGACACTCGAGGTCTGGAGTTTGAGACCCCTGATGTAGATAGAAAACAGTCCTCTTTGCAACGTTAGTGGATTTTCATGAATAACTGCTTCATGTTTCTGGAACGAGACGTTTCAGACTTAAAGGGAAAACAAACATCTCCTCAGAATTGGGCAGCCCACCCGAAAAACAGGGTTACAGGCGAGAGTATAAACATATTTTTGAGTATTTCACTAAACAAATGTTAGACACACCAGGCTGTCAGTCCTGAAACACGGCTTGTTGTCCTGCAGAGGCAGAAAAAGCAGCGAATGTTTGTTTGTTGAATGAAAAGCTGGTTATCAAAAGTTCCTGCTAATTTCTGACGAATCACTTCATTGACGAACCATCTGAAGACGTGCGTCTGTCACTGAGCTCCATTGTGTTGTTTCTGTGTATTTGCCTTTCAGATGGGATGTGGGGAGTCGGTCCCGGAGCTCAGCCCGACGCTTTTCACATTCAAATGAGCTCTTATTGGTGTGACATTGTTTAGTCACCTCTGGATTACCCCCGCCCTCCTCCAACGACCCACCCTCCCAC